ATTTTGGTGGTAGTGCTGACAGCGGTGACAAGGTGAGATTGATCGCAAGTGGTCGTGGTGGCAGAGGCTATGGTAATAGTGTTGGTGGTAATGGTATGTGATATACTATTTAGTGTATGTGACCAACCAACTATTTGGTTTACTTGTGACCAACTATTTAACTATGGTCTTAACATTCCATAATTTGTGGCTAAAAAATAATTTGTAACCAACAAAATTGAAAATATGTGATCGATAGATAAAATGTGCCCTATATTTATTTTATCTATGACCAATGAAATAAATTTTAACCCGTAAATTTTTTGAATTGTGACATCGAAATAATTTGTGACCAATTAATTTTATAATATATGATCAATAAATAAGTTATGACATATAACTATGTACATGTAACGATTAATTGCATAATCGTGACCTTATTATATTTAATTAATAAAATATTTTTAAATAATAAATAAATACCCAATTTTTATATTTTTAAACTTAAGGCCTGAGAATTGTTTTGATGATACTTTATACCTAATATATAATTCTTTTTCCCTATCAATATTTAGGGTGGAATCTGGGCTGATATTGAGCCTCTGATACCCAACCAACGAAAATGAAAAAGTATTTCAAAATGGATTTTGATATATGTACAGTCCTAGTAGGACGTACACTTTACACCCCCTCACAACAGGGAGGGCCTGTGCCAATAAAAAAAGATGCGGGCTCCCTTGTTGTGAGGGGCTGTCACCCACCATGTAAAGAGGAATATACCTCGAGCACGGTTGTTTCAAAATTGTTATTTTTTGTTCTAGTGTTTGTAGTTTTCTGCATCATACATAACAACCTACGGATTTGATTACTTATTGCTGATGTGGTGATTCAAAATAATTTTCCATTTTATTTTATTCATTTATTTTTTACTTTTAACTCTAGTCACTTCTCCTCCAGTTCCAACGTGCCTTTCACGGAGATATAGAACAAATGGAAAGACAAGCGGCTTACAAAAGTTTCCATTTTTTTTTTTACTTTTAACTCTCATCACTTTCCCCCCGATTCGAACGCACCTTTCTCGGAGATGTAGAACAAATGGAAAAACAAACACACCAAGCTGCTCTTAACTATTCAGACATCAATTCTAGCACAATCGACATCGAGAACATAGCAAATTAATAATTAACATCTATTGATGTCATCGGCGTTAATGTCGTACGAGTTTGAAGAAGGTTTTTTTCTCCTTTTATGTTGAAATTTACCCAGTTTTCTTCATTTTTGAGAAATGCTGCTGTGTACAAGGTTAAAGAAAAAAGGATTTAGGGCATTTTTTAAATCAAAATCTCGAAAAGTACCTAAAAGGTATGTACAACCAACAATTTTCATTTTTCATATCTTCTCCGTATATAAGACTCAAATGTCACAAAAAATGTGGCGACCATACATTCTCCCCTTTGCACATATTGGAGAATATATATACACACACACACACACTTTTATTTCAAAACTGCTTAGCTAAAATATCATTTCTTGAAAAGTCAATCCATGAACATACTGGTATTCGGGAAACCAGGCTTAAAGAGTTAGAGAAGAAGATTAAGGCTATTAAAAGTCAGATGCAGTCAGCATCCAAGTGTTAGCTTGATGCCCATTCTTCGAGTAGTGTTCTGTAAAATCACATTATGAATTGATGTTCGTTTATTTGCGTGTTATAGTTTGAAGTGACTGTCTAAGGTTCCATGATCATATAGGATGTCACAAATTGTATACTCGATGAATCGGGTATAGTAAGAGACAATTTGTGATGTGATCAAAATTATGTCATTCACAATCGGTTCATAAAGTTGGACGCTTTATGTTGCTAAAATTGTATTGTTCTTATTAAGATTTGTCTAGATCTTGAAATATGAACAATAATGTGTTTCAATGCACATTGAACGGGACTGCGTAGATGACTCATTTGTGACCATTTGAAATAAGACTCTACTTGATTATCAAACAAGTCACCTAAATCATAAGTGAGTAATGTATCTTTGATTGCTAGTTCAAGTTCTTTAAGGTACCAATGAGTGAAGTCTTAAACAGAAGATTGATCTCGGTGCTTTGGGAATTGGGCCGAAACAATTAGAGATCATATACTTACAATAGTGGAATCCATTAATCATTAAGATGAGTGATTGTCACTCTAAGGTATTTTCTTAGGAAAATTGAATCCGAGCTCAGTAGGTCGACGATGAGATCATTGGACTTTACATTGTGATTTGATCACAACGATTTTGCCGTATGAAAATGGGACTTAGAGGGTAATACATGTTGAAGGACAAAACGGTCATTTTCCTAGTTTCAACATATTGGCGGTCAAATGAGGGTTGACTTGTGGAACGATAATCAGTGGATATTGTTATTGGATCATAATTTGCTTCTATAACTATCACTCGAATCGAGAGTGCAATTTCGATATTTTGGTAGAATAAGCTGGGATTAATAGATGTATCTCAATTGGTCAAGAGTTGACCAAACTGAAAACATCTATTGGAGTTTGGGTTATGTGAGTTCGGTTAGGCCCTTCTCTTGGCTCCAATAAAAGGTGTGTGACTTACTTGGTCTACTACAATAAAGTCCAAAGAAATTTGTGCAATTTTCAAACCCTAATAGAGTATTATAAATATGCACTTTATTGACATGTTTTATATGAGAATTATGGTTATCATTTTCACTTTCCCCAAAAGGAAATACACCTAGTGGAGAACAAGGAAGAAGATTTAAGGGAGGGAGCAATTGGCTAGCCATTAATAGCTCCTTCAGAAGGTTATCATCTCCCCTTTCTTTGTGTGAGGATTTTTATAATCTAATGATCTCAAGGTCACTAAAATATTTATTTACATGGTTTCATTCTTCAAAGGAAAATTAATTTCCTATTGTGATGATTAAAATTCATTAACCAACAAATGATATCAGAGCCAAGGTTATTTTAAGCCTTGAGTAGGATTGAATTTTTTTTTAAATCTTAATGTAATATGCATTTTAGTTGGGTTGTGTTAGATTATTTGATTTTGACATGTTTATGTTTTAAATATATTTAAAGTTATTGCTGATACATTGATAATCACTTTTGGCCATAGAATTTCTTTTTACTTCCTATTGTATTTCATATGTTATAGTTGTTATCTAGAATTATTGTAAGCCATAAGGCACTAAGGTTTTTGTATATTTCATTCTTCATTTTCACACTTGTATTTTGATGAAGAAATGTAATCGTTGTTGTTGTATCTTCAATGAAGAGGAAGGAAAGACAAAAATGCAAGAAACTCAAGAAATACCTAGCTGAATGGTGGCAGCGGCGGTGGCCGCCGTGACCGGAGCAATGGCAGTCGCCACGACCATACACTGGTCGCGGCAGCCGCCATGGCTGCTGCGTGCTGTACGAAAGCAGCAGCTGAAGCTGTTGTGGCTGCCTTGCCGGCGGTGGTGCTGGCAGCCCCTTTTTGGGATCGTCGGAGATTACGTCGTCGTCAGAGTTGTGTGTACTCTGGTTTTGTGTGTGTTTTCTTGCTAGCGTTTGAAAACTAGGGTAATTTAGATTTTTTGGGTCTCTCTTTGATACTTGGGCCAATGCTCCTAAAAAATAAACCCAAGTAAAACTACTGAAGTCATCAATAAATGTAACAAAGTACTTATAACGTGCATGAGAAATAATAGGTGAAATTCTCCAAACATCACTATGAATAATATCAAAACATTGTGAGACACGATATCCATGAGAGGGAAAAGGTAGAGTTTTACTTTTGCCAAGTTTGCATGCAGTGCAATCAAAAGAAAGTTCAGACGAACATCTTTTATTACCCAATAAATTAGAATTAAATAAAGTGCGAAGTACATCTGAGTTTGGGTGGCCTAAACGTTTGTACCCCAATTTATTATCAGTACTAATGGTATTACTTGCAAATGAAAGTAAAGGAGAACTAGGAAAAGGAGAAATATGCAAGGGAAATAGTCATCCCACTTGAAGAATTGGGTCGGGATGTGGTCCAATATAATTCTTTTTATCCAATTTACATTTAAATATTTTTTTATCACTCTAAATTAATTAGAGGTGGTTGAAAAATATTTTATATAATTAGTGCCATTATAATTGTTTATATTTGGCGGACTAATTAAGTGAAAATCCAACGGTGCAAAATAATAAGTGGGAGAGGGTTTATAGACATGTATAAACCTACCACCTCCTCCATCATCCAATTTGTTATTAAAATACGTATGTTTAGTATTGAATTATTTCGATCTCCCTATAGACTACGTTATTTTTGATTAACTGAAATTAGATCTAGTAATAGAATTTCTTTAAAAATGAAATAATGGGATGATTTTCCTATAGACGATATCTTATATATTTCAGATATTTTAAAATTATTGACGAAGGTTATTACACTTATATATGAATATTTTTGGAGGACTTCGTATAGAAGATTTCAACAAAATTATTCATAGGCCAAATAATAATCAATCATCATTTTCTTGTGGCATGAGATGTCTAACTCAATAAAATGAGTGGGAGGGTCCCAACCTTGCCAACAACTTCATTGATCTCCTATAAAGGGCGTGTTAAAAGTTGTAAGGGTTTAAGGTTTTTTTATGACAAATATAGTTTTGGGTCTATATTTGCATATTCATATACATGCATCATACAAAGATTATTGTTCATTTTATTAATACACAAATCGTTAATTTTACAGAAAAATGTCGCTTAATTCATTATCAGTAATACTTAACAAAAAACAACTTGTTGGAGAAAACTACGTTAACTGGAAAAGGAATCTTAATATTGTTCTTGCCGCTGAAAAATAAAAATTTGTGCTGGATGAAGTTTGTCCCGAAGCCCATAAAGATGGCTCCACGAAATCTCAAAAGACTGCATATGAAAAGTGGCATCATTCTGATGAGATGGCCCATTGTTACATTTTGACATCCATGTCAAATGTATTCAATAGAAATATCAAAATATGGAAACTACTTTTGACATAATGGAAAGCCTTCAAGAGATGTTTGGACATCAAAGCCGACAAGCTAGGCAAGCCTCTATTAGGGCAATCATGAACACACGCATGAAATCGGGCGCATCTGTAAGGGACCATATGTTAACCATGATTGGTCACTTCAATGCTGCGGAAGTTTTAGGAGCTGACATTGATTCTGAGACGCAGATTGAAATGGTCCTTGAGACTCTTCCTGAGATGTTCTCACATTTTATAGTTAATTATAATCTACACGAGATGGACATGACTCTGATGGAATTAATGAAAGAGCTCCAAAATGCTTATCTGTTCTAAAGGCTAGAAGTGGAAGTGCTTTGATTGTTACAGTCGGACCCTCTCATCCTAAGTCTTCTGGTGGCAAAGGAGGAAAGAAGAGGAAGAGGCCAAATAAAAAGCCAAATAGCAAGTCAAAGGGGAAGAAAACTACTGTCGATGGGAAACCAAAGGGAAAGTGTTTTATTTGTGGACAAAAGGGTCTTTGAAAGAGGAACTACTCGAATTACCTAGCTAAGGGGAAGCAAGGTAAAGGCAATAATGTCCTATTCATTAAGTCATGCTTAGTGGTTGATTTGACTAATACATGGATTGTAGATTCTGGAGCCACTAATCATGTTTGCAATTCTTTGCAGGGGCTCTAGGAAACCAAGCATTTCAGTGAAGGAGAGTACACTCTTGGGGTTGGCATAGGAGCAGTGGTATCTGCCAAAGCTGTTGACACTTTTACTTTATGTTTTGAGAATCGTAGGCGTTAGATATTAGATGATTGTTATTATGTTCCCTAACTTACACGGAACTTGGTTTCCGTTGCACTTTTATATCATTTGGAGGGGAAGCTGTGGTATGGAGGAGTATGAAGCAATCTTGTATTATTGATTCCACCATGGAGGCAGAATATGTAGTGGCTTGTAAAGTTGCTAAAGAAGTTGTATGGTTCAAGAAGTTTCTTTTGCACCTTGACGTGCTACTTTTGGCAATGGGGCCCATAACGCTTTATTGCGATAATAGTGGGGTGATTGCCAATGCTAAAGAACCCAGGAGTCATCAGCGTGGCAAGTACATTGAGAAAAAAATCACCTTGTTAGAGAAATTGTTCATCGAGGAGACGTGTCATTAGTAAGATTGCATCAGCAGATAATCTTGCGGATCCGTTCACTAAGACCTTACCAGCCAAGGCTTTTGATGGACATCTTAAGGGGATGAGTATTCTTGATATGTCACACATACTCAAAGAAGGGCAAATGGGAAATTGTTAGCTTGATGCCCATTCTTCGAGTAGTGTTTTGTAAAATCACATTATGAATTGACGTTCGTTTATTCGCGTGTTATAGTTTGAAATGATTGTCTATTGTTCCATGATCATATAGGATGTCACAAATTGTATACTCGATGGATCAGGTATAGTAAGACCCAATTTGTGATGTGTTCAAAATTATGTCGTTCACAACCTGTTCATAAAGTTGGGCGCTTTATGTTGATAAGATTGTATTGTTCTTATTAAGATTTGTTTAGATCTTGAAATAGAAACAATAATGTGTTTCGATGCACATTGAACGAGACCGCGTAGATGACTCATTTGTGACCGTTTGAAATGAGACTCTACATGATTATCAAACAGGTCACCTAAATCCTAAGTGAGTAATGTACCTATGATTGCTAGTTCAAGTTCTTTGAGGTACCAATGAGTGAAGTCTTAAATAGAAGATTGATTTCGGTGCTTTGGGAATCGAGCCAAAACAATTAGGGATCATATACTTACAATAGTGGAATCCATTAAGATGAGACGATCGTCACTCTAAGGTATTTTCCTAGGCAAATTGAATCCGAGCTCAGTAGGTCGACGATGAGATCGTTGGACTTTACATTGTGATTTGATCACAACGAATTTGCCGTATGAAAATGGGACTTAGAGGGTAATACATGTTGAAGGGCAAAACGGTCATTTTGCCAGTTTCAACATATTGGCGATCAAATGGGGATTGACATGTGTAATGATAATCAGAGGATATTGTTATTGAATCATAATTTGCTTCTATAACTATCACTCGACTCGAGAGTGCAATCTCGATTTTTTGATAGAATAAGCCAGGATTAATAGATGTATCTCAATTGGTCAAGAGTTGACCAAATTGGAAACATCTACTGGAGCTTGGGTTATGTGAGTCTGGTTATGTCCCTCTCTTGGCTCCAATAAAAAGTGTGTGACTTAATTGGTCTACTACAATAATGTCCAAGGAAATTTGTGTAATTTCCAAACCCTAATAGGGTATTATAAATATGCACTTTATTGGCATATTTTATATGAGAATTAGGGTTAGTCATTTTTCACTTTCCCCAAAAGGAAATACACCTAGTGGAGAACAAGGAAGAAGATCTAAGGGAGGAAGCAATTGGCTAGGCCATTAATAGCTCCTTCAAAAGGTTATTATCTCTCCTTTTTATGTGTGAGGATTTTTATAATCCAATGATCTCAAGGTCACTAAATTCCTTATTTACATGATTTTAATCTTCAAAAGAAAATTAATTTCCTATTGTGATGATTAAAATTCATTGACCAACACCAAGGACCTCGAGGTAGGTTCTCTATAGTTGCCCTCATAAGTGTTTTTGTTAAGTAGGTTTCAGAAATTGGTAGTTTCTTAAAATGTCTAATTGAAATGGCTAATGGCATCTTTCATTATAAATTTGATTTCTCTTACCTCCTTGTATAGAAAAATGAAGTGT